ATATATATATATATATATATATATATATATATATATATATATATATATATATATTTTATTTTTTTCTTTTACTTTTTCATAGTTTTCCGGATTTTGATGAACAATAGTATAGAAAGATCACTCATGGAACTTTAATAAGTTCATCCATCTCATGGTCACGGTCAGGAAGTTTCATCGGAAATAAGTAGAGGATGGCAGGGGTACTTGGTTTTGGTATGATCATTGGGTATCTTCAGGTCCGTTATTTATGATCTCCGGCGAATGTGGACCGAATCTCGCCCATATCCTGAAATCAGCTAAGGTGATTGACGCAACGACGGAGAGTCACTGGCACCTCCCACCAGTGAGAGGGGTAGGTATGGAGCTAATCTAGCAGGCTCTTATTACTACCGACCCACCACATCTGGAAAAAAGCGAAGATATACACCTATGGAGAGACCACGTGGGGAAGTTTAAAACCTGTTCTCATCGTCTTCCATATGGAAACAACTAAGGATTCAGAGGCCGAAAGTTCTCTGGTATGATCTAGTTTGGTTTAAACTTGCTATACCGAGACACTCTCTTGTTCTCTGGCAGGCCATAAACCAAAGACTACCGATAAAAGATCGGCTGATAAATTAGGGTATTCAAGTGGATTGTGTATGTATTCTCTGCGAAGAGGCTCAGGAAAGTCATTCACACTTATTTTTTGTCTGCCCTTATACTTGGACACTTTGGAACTTTTACGCATCCAGGTGCTGGACCTCGCCTCCGAAAGATCTGCAGCTTTGCATTTCCTGGTTGAATAGCAAAACAGACAGATCGTGCAACCGTTATCTAATCGTCCGCCTAATCATTCAGATGTTAGTATACGAGATCTGGAGAGAACGAAACTCGAGAATTTTTGCTGGCACAAGGACATTACAAGAGATGCGCATGCACATCGACAACATGATTCGTGATATCTTTCTCTCGACTCAAAAGGGGAAGTATGATACTGGTAACATTATGTTACAGGATTGGTATTACCTGTTTGGGAGTTGATTACTAGGGGTTATTATCTGAATATTGTTGCGTAGTTAGTTTTTAACTGATTGTTGGGCAGAGAAAATACAGTCTGAGTACTGTTGGTATTGGATGCAGCCATGCTGATTTTGTAAACAATATTTTTCGGTTAATATAAGAAAGCACATTCATACCGAAAAAAAAATATGTTTTTTTTTTTAATTTAATGGTACTCTCGTTATTATTTAGAAAAATGAAAGACAGTATAGACCTTTCGACATTAAAAGTTAATTCTATGCAAAACTCGTTTTTGTTTTGCAAATTTCCGATACAATATACATATATATATATGTGTGTGTATATATATATGAAAATGTTTAGAGAATATGAAGAAAAACGAACAATTAGGTGGGTGTACGAAACCCAATATACATGCATTGCTATCCCATGCGAATTCATGCATTATAAAAAGTATGCATAATTCAAATTGTACCTTATCTTGGGGTTTTCTATACCTTTTTTTAAACAAATTTGTGTAGCATATTTCTAAAACATGTGATCTAATAACACATCATTCTTACAAAAAAATATTTCGTTTTCAACATCGATAAAACATAAAATAGAGCTCGTTGTCGGCATTCGAACCCCATAAATGTACGAAGTATTCATCTTGAAAATCCGAAATTCGGAATTCTAACCACTAATGGATACAAGGTTGTGTTCTTCACCGAGGAGAAATTGTATTCTAGGATCAAGTACGGGGTCTATCCGACCAAAACTGAACTCGCGTGTAACTCGGGGAGATGAGAGAACCCGAGGAAAATTGAACTCGCGGGTAACTCGGGGAAGATGAGAGAGATTGAGAGGATGCAATGTCGCGTGCGTGAGGTGAGAGTCGAACAAGATTGACAGCGACGAGATAAGGCTCACGAGCATCTAGTGCGGCGTTGCACGAGCTTAGGGTGAGTAGCCTCTCATAATCGAGTTTAGGGTTTCGATTTTGCAAGCCAAACTAATGACAGAATTTTTGGTTTTCGAATTTAAATGTAGGATTGACATTGATTTTGCAAACGTTCCATATATACCATCTTTGAGAATTCGTTTGCATAAATCTTTCATATTTCATAGAAAAAAAATGAGAATTGATATTGATTTAACGAGTTAAGGTATCAATGGGAAACATTTTAAGTTGGATATCAAATTGAAATATGTTAATATTTGTGATATCAATCATATCAAATTGAAAGTTTATATATTTATTTGATATATTTTAAATAGTTGAGATATTGAGATATTTATATATGATTTTGGAAAAAAAAAGTATAATGTTTTATTATCTTATCTAAAGAATGAAATCTGTAGATTTAACCTAAACAAATTTGAAAATTACGGAAGGTAAGAAATTAAGATAAAAAATAATTTCTGTTAAAAAGAAACAAAAAAAATCTTGAACTAAACGGGCCTTACTCTGTGCTTGCTAAATGCACTTTGTATTACCAAATCAAGAGTGATTTCGTCGTAAGACAAACAAGCATAGGCCGTACGTATGGGCTTTACCACAGGCCCAGTAACTGAACCCACATTCGACTCTGTTCTCGTCGCTGTCGGTATCCGATCTCGGCGAGGTCTCTGCCACAGTCCGTTGCTCGGTTCGATCTTCGTTCATGTTCTTTCTCCCTCTAGATTTGTTCCATGATCTTCAGATTTCACGCGTTTGATCGTTTTCTTCGCTTAAATCTCCTAAACCATGTCTTTATTAATTAATCTAAAGTTCTAGGGTTTAGTGCCGTAGAATCTTTTCCCGTTTCAGTCGACCATGATGAATTTGTTTTGGCCTTCTGGTCGAATTTATCTTGCTTGGGCTCGTGATTTAGATTCCTCGCACTATGCTCGTCTGCATCATTTGCCGTTGCTTATGCGTTTGTATACAATGCCTATTCCTATGTTTCAGTTGGACTTTGGGCATGCTCATCTCCATCTTGGCACTTGAATCTTCTGTTGATTTTGAGTATGCGAGCTTTCTCTTTGAGCTAAAGTGTCATACTTGTAGCTATTTTGAAATTCCGGAAGATGATTTACTCACTTCGGAGAACAAAATGGCTGGCCTTGGTTAAGATTCCAGAGTATACACGGCCGCAGTTTTCTTCTGTATCGAGTTTGGAACGGCTGAGATTTTTGTCTACTCTGATTTCAGCTCAGGACAACAGCCGAGAATCTTCGTTTAACATCTCTAGTTTGACTGGTAGTGCTCCTGAGCCTGATGTTGAGCGTTTGCAGTCGTCAAACGAGAAAGAATATGTATTGAAATTCCTCAAAGATAATGGTTTCTCTGAATATCAGATCAAATCTGTTGTTTCTCGATATCCAGGTATCCTTATCTTAGATCCTGAGAAAACCCTGAGGCCAAAAATGGACTTTCTGTTTTCGAAAGATATATCAAAACCTGAATTTCTGAGAATAGTTTCAGAGGAACCATGGATACTGACCCACAGTGTGGAGAATATCATGATACCTATATTTGATTTGCTGGAGGATGTGACTGGTAGCAAGGGGAATGCAGCTCGAGCTGTCAGAAACTACCCATTCGTGTTCCGCTCCTGCACTGCTAAGTCCATTGACCTGAATATGAAGAAGTTGCAAGATGCCGGGGTTCCCAAAAAGAGGATTGCCAGGTTGATGATTCCCCAACTTAAAGCATTTGCTCCACAACCATCAAGGTTCGATGAAGCCTTAGCCATGGTCAAAGAAATGGGGTTTGAACCCAGGGAACCCTCATTTGGTATTGCGGTTGGAGCAATCGGACTGTGCAGTAAATCTGCTTGGGAAGGGAAAATGAATCTTTTGAGGAGCTATGGCTTGTCCGATTCAGAGATCTTGGTAGGGTTCAAGAAAGAACCAGCAATCATGATGTTCAAAGAAGAGAACACGAGAGCGAAAATGAACTTCTTCCTCAAGGGTATGCACTGGAGTCTAAACAAGGTGATAATGGCACCACATATTTTGTTGTTGAGCCTAGAGAAGAGAATAATTCCCCGGCTCATGGTTCTTTATCTGTTGGCAAGCCAGGGAGAGGTGAAGGAAGGGGAAATCAGTTCGGTTATGTGGTTACTGAAGTTGCCCGAAACAAAATTTGTAGAGAAATTCGTTACCCGTTATGAAGATCGAGTCCCTCAGGTCATGGATGCGCACGAGGGCAAGTTGAGGATGGAAGATCTTCATAGGTTAAATTCGAAGGCTGTGTTCAAGAGGAATGAGTTCTGGTCAGGTGCTTAGATCTTTGGCATTACTGCATTTTTCATTCAGAGCTTCATTCCAACTATAATGGCTGCGTTTTTGTTAAAGCATGGATCATTAAAATGTGTAGGAAACCTGTCTGTTTCAATATCTATTACCCATTTTCTTCTCCTTGCATCAAAGCATTCATAACATTTCAAGATTAGTATCTTAAAGGATGTGGTATTGTGGAATATATTAGAAGTTAACTTATTACCTTTAATTGAAAAATAGTGTAATAATGTGTGAGAAAATAGTAGAATAACGTGGACCTACTTTCATGTGGAAGAGGGTATTTTACATGTAATTGACAGACTATCAAATAATTTTGTAGCCTCTTATTTATTAGATTTTCAATGCCAAAATATGAAATCTGATTTTTCATGTCGCAACTTTTTTTTGATAATCCGGAAGTTCACCGGACCTTTGGCCGGACTACACCTTTCAGAGGATAGGGAAAGTCCAGGTGAATGCCCCTCCCCATTGGGTTTGAATCCAGGGTGAATTTATGTCGCGATTTACTTGTATGTTTCAAAAGGTTATACAGTTTGTCTAGTTTTACAATCCCAATTTGAAGTTTTATTTTATAAATTATCACATTTTCAAAATAAAAATAATACTAAAAAGGGTATTTTTTTTTAATATATCTGATCCCTAGATTCATGTAAATAACTTCAGGCTGTTTACATCTGATAGAGAAAAAAATATCCAATTTAAAAAGTAGAAGATTTAGTATTTTCTATCCAAAACCAGCAAGAGAAAAATGTAGTTACTTTGCAATTTTATTTGATTTCGACTTTATTTGGAAGTAATTCCAAAAATGATTTATCAAAAAAAAAATCAAAGAAATCACATAACCAGTAACAAAAGTATTAGAATTGATTGCAATATTATGTGGAAGTAGTTCACATTTATTTTTGTTGTCAAATTGTAGTTTATAAAAAATATATATAATTGAATTATTATATCTCGTGGACAATAATAGGATTGTTGAATATTGTCAACAAGGATGAATACGACAGAACATTTGAAAATTTAGAAATTCCAATCTAAATATTTCAAAAATTTTAATTTATACACACGATATTTTTTATATTCTAAAAAAACAAATTCTCGGAATGAAAGGTTGAAGTTAAATCCGGATTCCCACTTCACTTTTATTTTTATATTTCATTCTTTTCCTTTTCCAAAACAATAATCTTCTCAAAAGATTTTAGAAACAAAATCCTTAAAGATACATGAAACTGCAAACACAAATAAATGATTTTGTAGTTAACAAATAAATATACTAAATATTCTAATTTTATAGAAATATTAATTTTTACTGTGAATAAACTGCTGTTAATATTTTTAAATGTTAACGGATTCTGACGGTAGAATTTGATTTGGAACGTGAGAAACACTGACCATAAATATCATCATATGCCATGTTAACATTTTAAAAAAAGGAAAAAAAACATACATATATATATGCATACACATTTATGTGTATCTATATATGTAATATATGTTTTTAAAACTTTTATTTTTAAAAAATTGCTGACGCCATATAATGATGTGACAAGACTGGATAATGCTGTGCTAATTTAGCTACAAGATCAGTTGTTCGACATTCTAAGTGAATATTTTATCCCTGTATCTATTAATATGCGCATGTATTTACATTTAATGACGTAATGGTCGTATATTGAATTAAAAAAAATTATAATTTTTTTAAATAAAAATACCGGAATAATTGATACTCCCTCTATTTCATATTAAATTACGTTTTGGAACAATTTTTTTGTTTCAAAATAATTAACGTGTTGAAAATTTTCATATAATTTTAAATTTTTTTCTAAATTTATCAACGATTAATAATACTTAAATATTTAGATAATAATTACAATATAATAAATAAGAGTATTTTGGATAAACGGAGTAAATATATTTATTAAATTAAATATTATGTATATTTACAAGTGATATATTTTATAGAATCATGTATATAATTATTATAGAATTAAATGATAAGTTATTAAATGATAAATATAAAATGAATTGATAAAAATTAAATAAAAAATTATTATAATAAATGAGTAATCTAAAATGAAATGATAAGAAAAAAATAAATATAATAATTTTAAATAAAATTTATTTATAAATAGTAGTTGATAAATTAGAAAATATAATTATAAAAATGATGAACATGAGTAATCAAAAACAAAAATAAAATGAAAGGAATTTTTTTCATAATATATAGTTATTTTTAATAAAACATATTGTTATTTAATATGAGATTTATTTATAAAATGTCAAAAAAATACTATAATTATGAAAAAATTATAATAAAATATAAATATATTTAGAAAATATAATTTTATATTATAAAATAAACTAATGATATATTTTTATTTCGTCAAACAAATAATTTATATCATTTTATTAATAAAATAAATAATAAAGGAAGCAAAAAAAAAACAATTTTTTTAAATCAGTTAATATTATATTCTCCCCAATATTTTTAAAATTATATTTTTCATATATCAAACAACAAATTTATAATATTTTTTTACTATATTTATATGTAATAAAACTTATCTAACAAGATAATTAATATAAATGAATAATCCGGCCTATTGTACAAGTTTTTATCTAGTATATATAAATAAAAAGATTTAAAAGATTGCAATAAAGTCATTTCATCTTTCATCTTATCATCTACATGATTATATATAACATCACCTATAAATCGTATGTACAAAATCAAATATCGAAAAGAAAAATTCACAAGTTGTCCTTGTGCAAAAAATCTTGTCGTGTGAGTAACACAGCAAGACCTTGATGTTCTAAGAGATATTAGAGTTTGAATAATGGCTTCAGATTTTCTATCAACAACTCCAATAGCCATGATAGCTAGATGATCATCCCATTGAAAATTCTTATTAATTAACCTTCCGGTTTATACCAGTTGGTCTTGGCTTACTAGAAGACGGAAGTAGAGTTCGACACTCGGACGGATTCCAATGCACCATCTCTAGGATCGGCCGAACCCTTGTCCCAAGTTGACCTTCCGCACCACGCCAAGGTCCGACAAAAGGATAAGTTTCACGCACCAGAACGGGGAAATATAGCTATAGATGCTCATTCCCATAACGCCTAACCTATCAAAACAATGGCCACGATTTAGACACGACAAGGATGTTGGGATTTTAAGTGGAGAAGAATGTCACGGAAGAAAATGAGATATTTTTTCGCATCCGGTTTTTCTAGTTATGCAGATATATTTATCCAATTCAGATGTGTAAACTTTTGTGATATGAGAGTTTATAATCGTTTAAGTGGAAGAGAAATGCAAAACCTATCTCGGTGAGTATAGTACCGAAAAAGAAGAATAAGACAATGAGAATGGAAAAATTACTCTCTCTTGATACATTTACAAAATATTGTACAAAATATATAGAAGGTCTAGAAATAAAGAAAAGGAAAATATCTAATTACAAATAAAGGAAATCTCTATAATACAAATAAAGAAAATAAATAAACGTTGGCATGAAATTACGTCCACCAGATCAGCTTGTGTATCACCACAAATTAGGCCATCCATCATGTCATCATACACTTCAACATATCATACACTTCAACATTCCCCCTCAAAATGATTTGTAGAGAATCGAAAAATCAATCTTGAAAGCAGGAATTACTTGAACCTTTTTTTTTTGTGCTTTTCCAATTCCGCCATTGTTTGACAACAATGAACATGTTCTTTGAGCATCCATCTTGTCATAGCATCCATGGTTTTTCTTGATAAATTGTTCCAATATTTTCCAAAGTGGTTCCTTTGTGTTTGAATCCTGCAAACCAATAAAATTAACGTAAGTTTTATATTCGAATGAGTACAAAGACTTACCTTTGATTCCACAGCAAATGGTTTTCACTTCCCCATCATTTGAAGCGTCTTTGTACACTTCTTTGGGTAAAAACTTTGTTGTGTTCTCTCTTATCATCTCACGAGTGTTAGGAGCATCGGTTAATAAGAGAAAAGTAAGAGTTTCTCTCTTATTTGAATGATCATAATCCTTTCGATTCTGCCACACTTTAAAGAAACGGTTAGACTTTTTAATAAAAGCAATACAACATTCTTTGTGACTAAATATATCGTTACTCTTGTCAAAATCATTTTGTAAATCAAATAACAGTAGGAATAATGATCTAGTATGGAAAAATGCAAGTCTTAATCCTAATTTCATAGTATATGGCAATGGTTCGTCATAGGCATCATACGCATCACTTGAACTTTTATATTTGTTAATATTATATTCATCCGTGATCGCACGAATCTTGTCGTATTAACTTGCATATAATTATCATGTTATTCTCATGCTTTCATATTTAGATTAGGAATATTTTGGTTTGTTTTTGGTGTGTTTCATATTTTGTAGGTGACAAAAATTATTTTGGAAACATTTGGCAAAAATGGAACAAAAATGGAGCAAACTCGGTTTCATGGGCAGTTTTGACAGTTTGGACGAATTTGACTATAACTTTCTTATCTGAAGTCCAAATGACGTGATTCCAATTTTAAAAGATCATCAACTCATTGTAGTTATGATCTGGAAAAGTTGCGATCGAAAAGAGAAAGCATGAATCGTGGCCGAAAGTTGCAAGTCACGCTTCGGATCCAGAAAAGCAAAATGAGAAGGGTGTACTATCTCCTCCATAACTTTCGATTGGGAGCTCGGATTGCTTCGCCGTTTGTTTCACAGTAAACTAGACATCAAGAGCTTTCCATAGACACCAAGATCGTAATTTTTGGTGGAGATTTGGCCCTTCATCGAGCAGTTACAATCTGAGCAAAATTCTGGTTGCTGACATCATGGCTTACATCATGGAGACAACTCACCTAACATGCCACTACGAATTTCATCATTTCATCTACTTTTGCCCTTCAGAAACTCCTATAAATAGACCCTTAATCTGCTCTCATTGATCACACAACAACAAGAAACACAAAAACAAAGAGTAGAAGAAGATTTGGAGGCTTGGAGCATGAAGAACAAGCCTTGAAGATCTAGAGAAGCTTTCTCTTTCTCTTCTCTCTATCTTTATGTTTTTTTTTATCATTTGATGATGTCTCTTGATCATTTCATGGC